ACTATACATACCCTTCTTACCTTCCTAACTCTGCCTTTTGACTCTCTTCACATTCTACTCCCCCCTCCACTTCTCCTATCTTCTTTCTCTTCAGAAAATGGAACCCCAAGAACTGAACTTTTAGACCCAAAAAACCTCCATTAAAGCTAAAAAAGCTCCAATCTTTGAAGATGAAACCTCACAACAGTGCTATGTACCAACACCATTTTAGCTTAAACAAGATTTTCTTGCTCAGTTTTTCTCTACAACCACTCTTTATTCTCCTCCTCATAATCTTCTTTCTCCCTCCTGCTTCACCTGCTTCTGTCAATGGCCTGTTCAAAGACTCTCAACAGCTTCTCTCCTTTAAATCCTCACTTCCCAATACACAAACTCAGCTTCAGAACTGGTTGTCGTCTACAGACCCTTGTAGTTTCACTGGTGTTTCATGCAAGAACTCTAGAGTTTCCTCTATAGATCTTACCAACACTTTTCTAAGTGTTGACTTCACTTTGGTCTCTTCCTACTTACTTGGCCTCTCAAATTTGGAGTCTTTAGTGTTAAAGAATGCTAATCTTAGTGGTTCTTTAACTTCTGCTGCTAAATCCCAATGTGGGGTTTCTTTAAACTCTATAGATCTAGCTGAAAACACAATTTCAGGGCCTGTTTCTGATATCTCTAGCTTTGGTGCTTGTTCAAACCTTAAGTCTCTTAATCTTTCCAAGAATTTAATGGACCCTCCTTCTAAAGAACTTAAAGCTTCAACCTTTAGCCTCCAAGATCTTGATCTTTCTTTTAACAATATCTCAGGTCAAAACTTGTTTCCTTGGCTTTCATCTATGAGGTTTGTTGAGCTTGAGTACTTTTCTGTCAAGGGTAATAAATTAGCTGGAAATATTCCTGAGTTGGACTTCACGAATTTGTCATATTTGGATCTTTCTGCTAATAATTTCTCAACTGGTTTCCCTTCATTCAAAGATTGTTCCAATTTGGAGCACTTGGATTTGTCCTCCAACAAGTTTTATGGTGATATTGGTGCTTCACTTTCTTCATGTGGGAAGCTCAGTTTTCTCAACCTTACAAATAATCAGTTTGTGGGGTTAGTCCCTAAGCTACCAAGTGAAAGCCTACAGTTTTTGTACTTAAGAGGGAATGATTTTCAGGGTGTTTTTCCAAGCCAACTTGCTGATTTGTGTAAAACTTTAGTGGAATTGGATTTGTCTTTCAATAATTTCTCAGGTTTGGTTCCTGAGAATCTTGGTGCATGTTCTAGTTTGGAGTTTCTTGATATTTCCAACAATAATTTCTCTGGTAAGTTGCCTGTTGATACCCTCTTGAAGTTGAGTAATTTGAAGACTATGGTATTGTCATTCAATAATTTTATTGGTGGTTTACCCGAGTCTTTCTCCAACTTACTGAAATTGGAGACTTTGGATGTGAGTTCTAATAATATCACAGGGTTTATTCCTTCTGGTATTTGTAAAGATCCTATGAGTAGCTTGAAAGTGTTGTACCTTCAGAATAATTGGTTTACAGGCCCTATACCTGACAGTCTAAGCAACTGTTCTCAGTTGGTGTCACTTGATCTTAGCTTTAATTACTTGACTGGGAAAATACCATCTAGTTTGGGG